GGCTATTAACGGCCTCTTCGTTAAGTGCCCAGACCAAAATGCATATATTCGTCACCCAGGCAATCTAATTACCGAGCCCGGGTTCACCCCGCACGCCCACACGCCTTTCTTTTTCGAGGCCTCTGTGCGGTCACCGCTGTAAATAAATAGATGGCAGGAGGCAGACGCTGACTCCTATAGCCTCCGTCTTGGGCACCGAGCCTTTAAACCACCAGAACTCGCAGTATTTAATTTCTTTTATTACCGCTTCTACCTTTAGAGCTCTGCCTTAGGCTTTCTAGATACGATCGCAGGGAGCAGGAAACCAAGCGCTCCGTGATGAGCTTCCTGGGGATCACACGCACGCAGCCCATCAATCACCCTAATTACAACCGGCCACACGTCCGCAGCTCCCTCGCCGCACTCCGTTACCGCCCGTAATTACAGGACTGCGTTGTTTCTCCGGTAACGGGATCGCAGAGTTAATTTGTGACCCGTAGACGCGGGCGCATCTCGTAACGGCACTTCGTCCCGGCGCGCTCATCGCCATGATCGCCAGTCACGTCGTCAGCCGAGCGGAGGCAACGCCGGTCCCCAAAATAAGACTTTCAGGTCCCCACACGGCTGCTCCCCGCAACACGCTCCCACTTCGGCTTCTGACTGCTGCCTGTGTCCCACCCGGAGCCAGGACACCACCGCAAGCAGGTTCCCTCAACGCCAATGCTCGTCTCTACCCACCTGATAAAGGCAAGGTGGGTCACGGGTGTCCATCACAGGGACACGTGTGACCTTCTCGAGGAGGATACCAAGGCCTGGGGCAAGGCTGGGCCTCCCAACACCCAGTATCCATCACAGATCCACTGGGACCACCACCCCCACCAAGACTACTCAAGCAGCGGGGTCTTTGCAGCCAGGGAAGGTCCGTTTTCTCCGTGTTAACACTCCACGGTCTCGACCCTGGCTGATTCTGTAGGTCCTACCAAAACACACACAGCTGCGTGCGGTTTGTGGGTCTCGCTGCTAACGGGCGCCCACTCCTCCAGACCCCGTGCCGCCCGCGGAGGCTTTCCCGCCAAGCAGGGATGA